TAACGAATTTTTAACAAGATTGCTGCTGAATTTGTCATTACTTATCATTGTGCTTTACAAAAAGGCTAGTTAGTCTGGCTGTTTGACAATTTTCTTTTTTATCTTCACATCAACGTTTCTTTTCGTTTGTATCCTGTGCCACTTTATTCCCTTTATCATTTGACGGTGCGACGAAACATTTTTCTTGTACAATTTTTCACACGCAAGTATATTTCTTTTTAATTTGCCATCTAGCACGCAGCTCTACNCTCCAGCGATAAAATAAGACAGAAAAATTATAAAAGAAGCACCCCCCCCCTTTTCCCCTCTTTTATTATTTATATTTTCTTTTGTAACCAGTGCGCATTGTCACCTTTGATAATAGCAACAGATGCCAGCAGCTTCATTTCTTACCCAATTTCATTCAAACAATTTTGTTATCCTTAAAAGCAAACATTCTATTGCTGCATTAATGGCATTACACGCCACTATATTTGTGTGTGTGTGTGTGGTGTGTGTGTGTGTATGCATTGAAAGAGGCGATAATTTGATGTTTTTTTTCTTCTGCTGACTTTATTACTCAATTTCATTTTCTCGATTTTCATTTTTGTCGTTTTCGTCGTTCGGCCTGGCTATCACTCATTTTTATGTGCCAATCTACAGATACTTACACTAAAGAAACATACACACATATATACACACAAGGCATAGTAAAGTGTCATGAAATGTTAAAGCGGAAATAATACTACGAATACCAGCTTGCTATTTGCGCATTTCATTCCGAAACTCTTACTGCCATTTTACGCATTGCCAAACCATATAACCAAAACACTAAAACATTTCCTTTCTCTCACATTTCATTTCTATCTTCTCACTTTTTCAATTTAGGTTGATGGTGTCGTTATACGACCCGGTCATTCCAATATCGATATCGATGATTTAATGATGCGCAGCGCCAAACGCGCCTCAGCAGATGGCGGTATCAATGCCTTCTTTACCGGTGGCGCTTATGCGGGCAGCGCGGGTGGTGGCGGCGGCGGTGGCAATGGCTTCGGCAGCGCTGGTTCTGCTGGTAGCAATGGCGGTGGTGGTGGGGGCGGCAGCGCTGGTGGATCCTCAGGTGGCGCTTACTATAGCGCGCTGACTGCGAACTATCCGAGCATGAGCAGCGGCGCCAACCTCGGCTTGGGCGGCAATGGCGCTCACTACGATGTGCTATTCGGCGTGGTGACCGGCGAGTCGATTTGGCGTTTCAGCGCACATGATATACAGAATGGCTTCGAGGGCGAGCGGCGCGATAAGATTATTCGTACCTATGTCCGGAATGCCTACAATTATCATCTCAATGAGATTTTCTATACGGTGAGTAAATATGCAATCAAGAAATGAGCATTGAAAGTATATTGTTTGATGGGGCCAATAAATTGCTGAAAATTCGATACAGAAGGTGAATGGGTTTGGATATGAAGTAGATATGAATCATTGCATTTATTTATAGTAGACACTTTTCAAGCCTAATGAATGTTCATTCCTTTGGGTCACGAAATAGTCAGTAATGGAGCTCAGATAAGAATTATTTGTGTAGAGGCACATCATTTTGATTAGAAGTTGAAAGAGATATACATCTGCTATAATAAGCTTACCCAGTTGCTAGTTAGGAAAGCAATTTTATGATGAACATTTTAATTGATTTTTACACATTTTAAACACTCGTGAAAAAAGTTTAATTTTCAATCTACGTTCCTATATAGTCCGATCAGCGACAGGATCGATGAAAACGCAACGGCACCATCCGCGCCAAAGATTTTTAAATTATGGTCGCCAATCGTCTGTAAAGTTTCTTTAATTTCTCAAATTTATAATATCATGAAATTTTATTTACTTTTTAAATTACCAAAAAATTTTACCCAGCGGTGGAATTTTAACAGTCGCCACGCCAAGTTTCTAAATGAAAAGCAGAGGTGCGGCTGCAGTTCTGATTTTTTTTTAAAAATGTAGTCAATTTTTGAATAGCGACACTTTTTTTTAATTTAAGAAAAATATGTATGAGCAGATTTTGACAAAAAAAAAAATAATAACAAAAATGTATATCCAGTTTTAAAATGCCAAAAAAATGTTTGTGCACATTTCGATTTACGAAGGATTTGATATGCAGTTTTTAACCTACAACAACTATAAATTTGTACCCAGTTTTAAATAACGTAAATAATTTTTAAATTACCAAAAGTTTTTGCAACTTTTATACAACACAAAATTCATGTTCACTTTTTGATTACAAAACTAAATTCCGCGTGTGACATCACTAAAACCTTGATACAATAAAAATCTAGGTCCAGCTTTTAGATCATCAAAAATGTATACATATCCAATTTTAAGTTACCAAAAATGTATGAAAATCTTTAATTTAATCAAAAATAGATTCCCAGTTTTACATAAATTACTCAAAATTATAGACCTGGCCATTGTTACTTTTTGTACTTAAAAACTTATGTAACAAAAATGGATATCCAGTTTTTAATTTCGAACATTTGAAAAAAAAAAACTTTCCGACAGCCCTTACATCGGGTATCTTGAATCGATAGGCCTTCCATGCTCGATGCTTTAATACATTTTGTAAATAATGGCGAGAGTTGTAAGGCGTGTTTTTTTATTTAACTCTAGTTCTTCTCTAGTAGCCTTCTCGTATGCCTTCGAAAAATTTACTTAAAGTAACCTCAAAATCAGAATATGTCTAAGGCGACTTCTGTAGAAATACATTATATGAACATTGCAAAATAGCTGAAGTACTTCTTTAAACGATCACTTTTGGATGATCTGCGCAGCTTAAGCAAGATGGCATAATAAATTTGCACGGCCACCGAAATATTGAAGATTTAAGAGAAATTTTCAAGGCAATACAGTAGGATGTTAAGAGCCCCAAGCGGAAGGGTCGATGGCAAATTATATAATACATTGTATACATTCCCAGCGGATGTGTTCGTCAACCGAAAAAAAAAAAACCAATTGATACCCAGATGCTATGATGCGCTTAAAGAGGTTAGGCGCTTCGGGGAAATGAACAATAAATGGCAATGCGTCTACTTCCGTGGATTTATACATACACACACAAACATACACACAACAATGCATACAAAAATACACAAATAAATACATATTTATATGAATGTACTCCACAAACACTGCTGAATGTTGAAGTATTGATTTCCGCTAAAATTAGTGGCGTTGTCAATACTTTATATTTACGAGTGCTTATACTAGAACCAAAAATGGAGTGAGAAAGAAAAAACCACTAAACCCCCACAACAGACTACTAAAGAAATTTTCACTTTAACCAGAAATTTTTAATGGAAAACGCAGCCAGAACTTAACCGCAGCGTTAATGCTCCTTAACAATGTTCAGCCAATAGTTATTTGTTGTTGTTTTTGTTGTCATCCTGGTGGGTGGCATAGTCGAAGTGAGCAATCAACCAAGCAACTGAAGGTTCATTGAAGACGAAATGCTTGAATGGAGCACATTTTGCTAAATTAGCATGTCATACGCCTGGGAGACTACGCCATCAAATTAGCCTAAGCTCAGCGTGGCTGATACCAGTGTCTGAATTTGAGTAATTGTTGCAAGCGAGTGACAACCACATCAGCAACCGAAGCGAAAATCATTGAAGTGAGCTGAACTGTGTGTCAAGGGGGGTGGGATCAATTTAGACATTCGTTGAAGTTCAATGCAAAGGGCCACTTGAACAGGTGAACGGCAGATGGAAGGAGGGCGGCTGCGAAGGGGAGAGATGCGGCCAACAAGAAGAGAGAAAATTATTTTAAAGAAAGCTAGTAAAAGCGTTAGCAGCTAAATGGAAAATATAACAATAAGNGATGAAAAATGGAATGGTGAGGAACGGCACGCGCTAAAATGCCTTTGGTAATTCAGCTGATTGTCAGAGTTAGTGGCAGAAAATTAAAAGCAAGGAGGCTACTACTATTCCGAATCGAAGAAGTAAAAACTGTTCTGTTAGAGAAAAATTCAAGCATTTGCTTTGTTGGCATTTAAATAATTACAGATGCTTTAACAAGAAATCAAAACTAAGTAAGACCGAAAAATTGCGTCTGTAGACAAACCGGTTTGTCTTTAAGTCAAATTTTACAGAGTATGACGGAAATTCGCAAATCACTTCATTTAAATCTTTATAAGGGTGTGTGTAGTTTCCCCTAGTTTTGAGCTCATGCCACGCGCTGTGATTTCAACAATGCTGCTGTTGCAAAAAACGTTTGCCATTGTGTCTTTGTACTGCAAATATATAATTAGAAAACACTTACTTACACATGTATGTATGCACGCTTCTTCAAAGCAAACAATTAATTATCTCTACGTATGCGCGCTTCCCTTATTCTGTCTATTCTTTATTCTTCAATTTCACCTTTTAACTCTCGGAGCATTTACTATTCAACCCCCTCTAATTACTCCTACCCCTCTTGAAAGCACTAAATTAATTTACCTAAAAAATTCTGGGAAGTTACAATTCCAATAAAACTTAAATTTCACTTAAAAGCCAACCTTTTTTGATGCTCCGTTTTGCGTAGCAGTAGCAGCTGCTCGGTTTTTATGAAAATTTCGCTCATTCGAAGTAAATTTGGTAATCATTGTTAAAATTTAACCCCTGCCCATCCAGAGGGCCAACGTACCAACGCACCTAGCCATGCGGAGTCTTAATGAAAATTTAATGACGCCACGTGTCGCTCAGTTAAGGTCCCCAAACGGCCTGGCGCAAATTCTTTTAATCTAAGTAGCTTTGCCGCGAACAAATTCAATTTTTCTTGTACTAGAGTGGCCTTTTTCGAGGCAGAGATAAGGTCACGGGGCACAGAAGAATTTCTGAAATTTAGCATTGGTAATTTTAGTTAGTCGCATATTAAATATTACAGCAAATGGGAAGCTTGAGTCCTTCAGGTATAATTTGCATTAAATACTCGAAAAAAAACGAGAAAAAAATGATAGGAAATTACAAATTTTAGGTTTGAAAAAACCAGTTTGCCTAAACACTTTTAGAAAATTATGTTTGCAGGTGATGTCCGAGCATATGTATGTATATGTAAATACATATGTATGTATGCATGTATGTATATGTAAATTTAAACTAAGTTAAAACAAGTAAAGAAGTATAAGTTCGGGCGAATCATTGAATGATGCACTTTTTTCTGAAATTTCCCAACCCAAAATTTCACTCTGGATCTGAGATAGTGAGTCAAGTTAAAGAAATGTTTCATGTTATCGATATTTATTGAATTATCATTATTTTTAGACTTAACGAAATTTATCGAGTTATCGTAATGCATCCAGTTCTTTCAACTTACAGAGTTATCGATAATTATTGATCTAATGAAATTAGTCGATTTATCGAAACGAAGTTTATGGAATTTTCAAAACATATCGACTTATCGAAACTTCTAGGTTATATAAGTTTATCGAGTTATTACTGCTTATCAAATTTTATTGTGTTAACAAAGTGTAACGATTTATCGAAATTTGTCGATAGCTTTCGAAAAATATGAAGCTGTCAAAATTAAACATTTATAAAGGTATTCAAGGCTTATCGAGTTATCGATTTATATCGCGATATATACACTTTTGATTTATAGAAATTTATCGAGCCCCCCAACTTCACATTCATTGAAATTAGTCGCGTTACCGAATTTCGTTGAGTTATCGGATTTTAGTGTTTTTTAAATTCATCGAATTATCGATATGTATCAAATCATTGCAATTTGTCGATAAACTAAAATGTATCGGGTCAATTCCAAATGCTGCCGAAGTCCTCAAAAGACTTTCAAAGATATTAAAAATTGTAGTCACGGCTTAGTTCCAAAGCAGAAGATTTTCCGGTAAGTTACTTTGTACCTTATAAACTTAGCTACGTTGTAAGTTAGAAAACCTCTCCGTGGCTCTTAAAAACTAGAAAAACGGTCGAATTTCGACAGTAACTGGCACTGCTAGTACGTTTTAAATATTCTGCGGCAAACAGTACTTTTTTAGATTTATGTCATTTAAGAAGCTGTCTCTATAGAATATGTATGTACATACAATATTATTGCTATGTGCTTATATGTAAATACTTTGATTGAATACTGGAGGTAAAGCAGCCGGGAATTGCTTTACTTGCATTGCGTTCTTACTCACTACCTACATATTAAAATAAATTAAATGCCAAAGCATAAAACGCAAGTAAACACGTCTGACACTTAATCCAAGAGGTTGTCATTCGTAAGAAATATATGATTTGTAACAAATTTGTAAGGTTATAAAAAAAAAAAAAAAAAACAATTTTAACTTCTGCAAGCTCTTTGGACATTTTACATTCCTTTCGTAGTAAAAA